CAATACAAAAACACAAAACCTTTGTGATTGAAATTTCTAAATTATACCTTTTTTGCTGCACCTGGTGTCCCAGACCATGATATTTCCATCCCTGGCCCCAGTACAGAACACAGCTGTTTAACAGAAGACAAAGCCTCAATAATGTGATACAACAAAGAATCATTAATGCAAAAGATATTACATTTAAACAAAAAAAATCACCTTGTAATGTCCTGCTACTTAGCATTACATTTTTCTTCCTGGCATATTTATTAGTGGTTATTAATGCTATACAAATAGGTGTGGGCATATGTAAACATAGAAAACAGGCTGCCATAGCCCCAAAATCAAATGTCACACCGTCGGCACAGGATTTCTTTGTGTATTTTGAGAGAAAACAGGGAACTAACTATCCTCCAGCACTTTACCTTTCTCCTGCGGTGTGAATGCAACAGACTTGAGGCTGCAGAGGTGACCCTTGAAGCTGCCTAACAGATCCCCTGACTTCACATCCCACAGCCTGGCCATCTGATCACCAGCAGCAGTCACCTAAGGATGAATAATAATTAATTTTAAGGAAGGCTTTTTATGTAAGAAAAGGGAACTTAGAAAAAGCTAAAAATGTAGCGATTGAAACAAGGGTGGATAATAAGGCAACCATAAAACAAAAATAAATGAGTCATAAATGTCTATATGACTCAATAATGCTTTAAAATGAAGTCTTTTAAGATGTTACTGACTTCACATCATAATTTACAGTGGACTGATGACCTGGAATTCATTTGAATTGTACTTACTACATGAGGCTCCCCCGGGACCCAGGCTATGTCAAAGACCGCATTCTCATGAGCCAGCCATTCTGCGAACATCCACACACCATTAGCCACTGATATGTCCTGATAATGGACAGAACTATAGTGAAAGAAAAGAGTCTACACATACCTTTAAGAAGCGGGTCTTTGCGACTCTCTGTATTGTAGATTCTAACGATGCCTTCTTCATTCGCTGCTGCAAGGACGTTCTGCATGTTCCCAGCTGGAGAGAGATGGGAGAAGAGGGAAACATCAGTTAAACAAATTAACGACAACAGCTCCTGGCTCTGTCGTGTATCATCTGATGGTAATATGGTATATACAGGTGGCTTACCAGAGGAGAAAGCCAGTCCAAATGGTGGCACGGAGTCACCCAGGTTGCCATAGGAGATGTGTTCATCGTGTCGGACACACTGGTAGCCTTCCAGCAGAGAGCTCAGAGGGTACCTGAACCAGGGATCTGCAGGGAGGACTGGGACATTCAAAGAAGAAAGTACTGATTTACTCCACTGCATTCAGAGGTACTTCTACTATTTATTCTACTACATCTATCTGATGGCTGTAGTTACTTTTTTTCAGGCTATGTTTCACTTTTTTTTTCTTCTTACAAAAGTCAGTAATAAAAGGCCATACCTCAATATTATTGTTTATGAAGTTTCAGTTGCATCTTGTGATACTGTTAAAATCATATTATGTTATATTTTCAGGACATCCCAATGTCAAAATTACAAACTTTATTTATAACTAACAACATGTGTTAATAAAGAGTCTGTTTTTCCTCATTTTAAGAGTTTAGTTTCATTTTCTAGATATGATTTTGCCTTCATTTACAACAGGTTGTGTTGTTACTTCGCGTTGTTTTCCATCTGTGTCGAAATGGTGTTTGTTGTTACTGTATTATTGTACTAATGTTTTACTGTTTTGTTGCCATTGTCGTCTTTATGGTGTTTTGACGATTTCCTCCTACTGTAAATTTGATCACTTTAAAGGTTTCAAAATATCTTGCCGAAGAACTGCAGTTGAAAATTAGCCAGTTGGCCAACACTAGCACATTTACAGCAATGTTGATTAATGTGTGTTGTCCCTATAAACAAATGAAATGATAAAATGATTTCAGCCATATCACCCAGGCCTAAATAATTATGTGCTACGAGTTTACAGTGGATACATCTATACCTAAATATTGTAATGCCTTGATTTTGAGTTTGTGATTGTTGGGAATTGAAATGCGGATTTCTGGTTGACCAAAACTTGGAAGAACACACTACGTTTAGTTACATTAATAACATAACGTTAAGCTAAAGTCAGTTTGCCGTAAGCTAATTTTTATACCGTCATTGCAACAGAAATAGATCACGGCCAAATATCCAAAGATCCAGGTGTAAACTTTAGTGGTTTTAGCTACAAATCCAAACATGAAACCGAGATGTTGAGTTACATTACCCTTTATATGAAACTAGTTTAAGTTTGTCAGTAGCTGTGGAGATAGCACAATGAAGCCCAGTGCACACCCGTTGACCGAAAAGCCCCCGATATTCCCAAACTCATTGACTGTCTCACCGCTCTGCCTTCGTCTGCCCACTCCTCTGTCAACTATTGAGCGGAACAGCATCCCTGCACTCCGGTGGAAGACGATCTGAAATATTTTTTTAATAATAACACTGAGGCGTTTGTGAGATCGTTGGTCTTTTTCCGTGTTTCTGCAGCTGCTGGTCTTTCCCGCGAACAGGTCTCCTGAACGCAGCGACTGAATCCCCCGCTAAACTTGCGTTACGCGCTACCATTGGTTGAAACAGCGACTTCCGCTCCAGCATCGCGTCCACGTCCGGTTTCTTTGTGCCACAACTGAGCGAACGGCTCAGTTGTGTTTATCCAAAGATCCAAAGATTAATTTGCTGAAATGGGTCATTTCCTCTGTGCTTACCTAAATCTCAGTTTAAGACATATGTATTTTCGAGCATTATTTTAGTTTGAAAATAATGATCCACAAGTGTGATGCGGAAACCTTAAAAGTACACTGCACATAATGCACCAAGAATATACTTTTCAGTCAAGTGGGAGACATCTTGTGCATATTCATTGATTCTGGATTATTCAACGAGTGAGGAGGAATGTGCTTTTACTTGTTAATTGAACATTTTTGTGGAAAAACCTTATCAGACAAAAGTACTGTCTACAATAGTATTTTTATATGTCTTAAAACCATAGACTGTATATAAAAAGCTTAAAACATGTCTGGAGTGGTTAAAGTAAAATTAGTATTGCCACACTATATACATTTTCAAATACAAGGACAAGTCCTGAATGAACATTTTTGAAAAGTAAAAGTACAGAGAAGTTCAGAGAAAAGTATTCATTATTCAGGTCCCTGTCAGTGTTAGTTTATTATGATATTGGACCATTATTACTGATGCATTAACATGTAAGCCATACTTCAATGTTGTATTTGGCAAGGCGGATCTAACAGCTTAATATAGAGCTGGGTAATTTAACAATGCATCACATTTTATAAGCATAAGTATTTTTGAAAAATGTAAAATATTTCTCTCTGAAATGTGGAGAAGTAGAAAGTTAAGGTATCAGAAGATGGAAATACTTAAGTGAAGTACCTCAAAGTAGCACTGTACTTCATTAAATGCACTCTGGTATTTTTCACCTATGTTAAAATAATTGACCTTAGAATTGTTTATTGAAGATTTTATTTTTTAAGTAGCAAATAGTCAAGTTAGAAGCGCTTTATTGTGAAAAACAAAACTGAGAACAGGAAGCAGTAAAGGGTTAACATCCGGGTTTAGAGTGTCTCAGCCTGTACAATGAAATATTAAGGATTTATGGGTGCAGTCAAGCCTTTTTCAAGTAAAAAATAAACAGTAATGTCACTTTCAACTGCACGTTCATTCCTGTCAGAGGCTTGTTATGGCGAACAAGAACTCGACGCCAATTCCGCTCTCATGGAGCTGGACAAAGGTGCGTTAGCTAGGTTGCTAACAAGTTAGCATACGGCTCATCAGTTGTAGTATGATCCTGTGTTGTGTCTTCTCCATGTGTCGGTTTTTCTAAATGTAACTGACTTTATGAGAACCCGGTGCTTTGTTGTGAACAGTGAGCTTGCTTTGTTTTCAGGGCTGAGGTCGGGGAAGCTGGGAGAGCAGTGTGAGGCTGTGGTGCTCTTCCCCAAACTCTTCCAGAAGTACCCTTTTCCCATCCTCATCAACTCTGCGTTTCTGAAACTAGCAGACATCTTCAGACTTGGGTATGATGCTTTATAACTTGGTACTCTGAGGATAGTTTCTCATTAATGTTTTCAAAATTCTGATGTTTACCTAGCTCCATTTTGATGATTGCTAAAAAACTGGCATTCATAAAGTCAGTTTATTAGGGGTTTCTACTAGGATTTATTGACTGCATCCTTTTATGTAGGTGTACCTAATAAATTGACAACTGCATGCGTTTCAAGTAAAACTACCCAAAGTTCAGAGTTCATTACCAGAAGGTAATCGTTAGTAACATGTCTATGGTGTGTGAGTAGTGAAACTGGCTTTCCTGTGGCACAGACCTACGTGTTTACAAAAGTTTGTCTCTCTGATTTCAGGAACAACTTTCTGCGCCTCTGTGTGCTGAAAGTAACTCAACAGAGTGAGAAACATCTCGAAAAGATCCTCAATGTGGATGAATTTGTCAAAAGGGTGTTTTCGGTCATCCATAGCAATGACCCAGTGGCCAGAGCCATCACTCTGAGGTAAGAATTTGAATAACCTAAAGTTTTACATTATGCTGGTTTCTAATGTAGAATGGACCAACATACAAAACGTTGTACCACTCTACAGACCCAGAAAGAATGAGCTTCACTCTCTTTCCAGTTATCTAAGGCTTAAAACAAACTTTCTCTGTTGTTTCCTTCTTCTCAGGATGCTCGGTAGTTTGGCCTCCATCATCCCAGAGAGGAAGAATGCCCACCACAGTATTCGCCAAAGCCTGGACTCTCATGACAATGTAGAAGTGGAAGCTGCCATTTTTGCTGCTGCAAGCTTCTCTGCACAGTCAAAGTAAGGAAAGTTGTCGCTTCACCTGTGCTTTAGTGTGTATATATATATATATATATATATATATATAAAAAATGATATGGGTTTTGGTACGTTCGGTGTGTTTTACGCATTTTTTGATTTTCAGAGACTTTGCAGCTGGGATATGCAACAAAGTCAGTGAGATGATTCAAGGTAAAATTACTGCTTCGTACTAAACTATCAAACTATGAAAAGTGTATGCACTCACAGAGGTCAGCATTTTAAAACTTTAACTAATTGAGCATTAAAATGTCTGCGTGAACATGGCAGTCTACACTGAAAACGATGCAGTCCGTTTTATAATCAAAATTAAATATGCCACTATATTGTACATTCAAATACCAACAACATATTTTAAGGAATTCACAAATAATTTTCATGGCTTCTCATTGTCCAGGCAGTACTTTCATTTTGTCTTTTGTATAGAGTTTGTGTTCCTCTTTAACCTATGTCTCAACCCCAGGTTTAGACACTCCAGTGGAACTGAAGCTGAAGCTGATCCCAATGCTGCAGCACATGCATCATGATGCCAGCTTGGCGTCCAGCAGCAGGGAGCTTCTACAGCACCTGGTCAACTCGTACCCTTCCACCCCCATGGTCATCGTCACCCTGCACACCTTCACCCAGCTGGCTGCCTCCTCTCTCATCGATATACCAAAGCAGGTAGTACCATGTCAGAGCTTTACCTCATTGTTATTGGTTAGTTACTGTAATGGAAGGTTCACACATGCAGGTCTAAAAGCTGGGACAGCAACAGGCTGCCATTCATTGTGAATGGGACCTGGCATTGCAGCCCGACACCACCTGATGAATTACAGAAATTTAAAAGAACATCTCAACATTACTCAAATGTCCTCTGAGGCAATGTAAGGGGCAACCAGGCAAGAGCCAATCATGCTCAGAAAAAACACAGTTGAGTCGGAGCAGAGTATGTAAATTTATGCAACATACCCGCAGAGCTAGACACTGCCTGCTACTTTGTATATTTATGTGTGAACGCAGTGTAAAGACCAACTGTGGTTGTTTGTTTTGTCTAGAAATGTATGACGTTTGGCTGTTAATGGCATAGGTCTGTTGCTATTATTAAGATTTGCATTCTTGGACCCTTTTTTCAAAATTGTAAATGACTTTTCATTTGATTCCCTCTCTATACAGTTACAACTCCTCCTTCAATACCTGAAAGATGACCCAAGAAAAGCTGTGAAGAGGCTCACAATTAGTGATCTAAAGCTCCTGGCTAAAAAGGCTCCTCACCTCTGGATCAGAGAAAACACTCAGGTAGCGTTTCAGATTCTGACAGTTGCATTGTAGGATTGTCTTTATGTTGGTCTGAAATCTGTAGGTAATCTAATGTTTTCTTTTCTGTGCAGACCCTGTGTGAGTGCGCCTTGAGCAGCCCTTACAACAGCTTGAAGCTGGGGATGTTGGCTGTCCTCTCCACCCTCTCTGGAACAATTGCAATCAAGCAGTACTTTAATAATATGACAGGTTGTGTTCCCTTTTATAACAATGTGAATTTCTTTAAATATGTAAGAATCTGATCTTACCCAGGTATTATTTGCTGGTTTATGTTATTTGTATGGTGAAGAAGGGAACGACTCTGGACTGATCTGTATTCCTTTCATTCTCCTCAGGTAGCTCTTCGGTTCCCCCCCGGCTCACTGACCTGGTTAAACTGGCACAAGAATGCTGTTACCACAGCAACCTGGCAGTTGCCGCTCATGGGGTCATAGTGCTTGCTAACATTGCCATTTCCTGTCCAGAAAAAGGTTGGTTACAGCAAGTAATGACCTGGATTAGGAATTATGCCAGTTTCTTATCAGACTATTGATCTCACATTAACCCCTCTGATGTCTGCTCTTGTGTGCCAAGGCTTAGTGTTGCTGTGGGTATTTCTCTTCCACAGATATAGTACAGTTGGAGCAGGACACAGTTTTGGGAGTGGAGTCTCTTCTGATGCTTTGCAGCCAGGACAGCAGCCCCAGTGCACAGGTCACGCTCAAAGTAAGACAATATTTAACCACAAGGCAGAGGGCATAGCTTGGATCAATACATGGGTGGCAACAATATGGCTGGGTATTGAAAGTTGGTGGTTGGTATCAACATAAATGTGTTTGTAGCCCACAGTATAGAAAACTGCCAATTTCCATAAGCTGACATCCAATGCCCAGTCAGATTAGTTGATTTTACTTATTCATTGATCAGATAGTTCCTGATTTAAATCAAAATTTCAGATTATATTTTATTTAAGCAAAGTTATTTCATGACTGCTTGTGTTTAGAAAGCATTAAACATTTGAGAACTTCTGGTTAAATTAAAAAGGTATATGCAGAAAAACATGTCAACATCTAAAAATAGAATCACATTTCAAATTAAACCCAGTCTTGGTCAGTAAAGTCAGGGGTGTTCTCGATAATTTGATATCAATATGTAAGTGTAAAGCTTTGCCCAAGTGTGAGGCATTTAAGATGCTTTGTTTAGAATATCCCAAACTCTGTTTACATTTGTGTTATTTTATACTAGAGCAATGATAAATGCAGCATCCATCTTCAATATTTGTTGGACAAAGGTAACATTGCAACTACGGATGGCAAAATCTGGCAAAAATAAAGCTGAATTCTTATAACTTTTTCAATAATAATACCAGCACTGCCATGCACATCCTGGAT